TTGTGGCCAAACTCAAAACTTTTTATCATTCATCTGTATTCTTTGCTCCTGATTCTTAATATAAAGCTGGCTAAAACCCCCCAACAGTACCCATGCCATAACCTGAATGTTGGGCTGTCTTAAAATTTCCTCCATCAGATTAGTCCATCATCTTTAACCTCAGTCGCTTGCCATGTCTTAGGACATGAGCAAAATGTAGACAAATTTTCTGCTAGAGCATGACACACATGGCTTGGCGTTCAACTGCCAAAGGAGTCTTTCCACCTGAAATCTCCTGAGCCTAGTCTTTTTTTTTTGGTACAGAGGATCAAACTTGGGTCCTTGCACTTGTGAGGCAGGCGGCGGCACCACTGAGCTAAATCCCTGGCCCATAGTCTTTTAATACCTGCCCACCCTTTTTTTTTAATCAGCATTCTGGTCTTCTGAGCTCCAACCAAAATCTCCCATTAACCTCTGGTTACAGCACTCTAGGGCTTCTCCAGCTAGCATCTCCAAACTTTCCCAAACTTCTCCCACAAAGCAGTTTGAATGGTTTCTATTACCACATGGTAAAGTACGGTCACACTGATGATTCCACTTCCGTAGTATCAGAATCTGTATCAATGTTCACTACAGGAACAGATATAAATGTGATACATAAAGGATTTACTAAGTGGCTTATAATGGTCACTTGTGGAATCAGAAGCGGAAGAATGCAAGAATCCAGCTTAGGCCAAATTTAAAAGGAACTATCTCTTCCTTTGTTAGGCCTAATATTAAGCATTTCACGTACATTCTTTCTCCACATAATCCCAGTATCTCACAACCACCCTAATTTATATATAAGGAAACTTAAAGTAAGAGAAGATATGGTTGCACATTAAGTGGCAGAGCCAGGAGTCCTATCCAGGTTTATTTGATTTCAAGAGCCATGTTTTCAATCTAAGTAGTGTTTTTAAGCTATGAAATAAATGCTGACATTCAGTAATATGTTGCTCCCTGCCATTCAAACACCTTGTCTCCCTCCCAGGCCAAGGTGCAACCCATCAACTGGGGCAAATGGCTAAATATTAAAATAGGAGTTGAAGGCCAACGATGTGGCAACCGGGAAACTGGGTAACTCATAGAAGAGAAATAGGAGGAATGTGAACTAGCCTCTACTGAAAGCTTGTCTTAAGCTACAAACTGCATTAAGATGCTTTAATGTATAACATTTCTTTTAGTTTTAAGAATCCTGTAGAGTAATACTAGAAAAAAGAGGGGAAGGGTTAGAATAACTGATGTCTGCTTACCCCAGTGTTCACTTTTTCCTTTTTTTCCCCCACTAAAGACCCTCCCATGTACACTTTGTAGACGGGAATAAGATTGTCTGAATAAAGGACAATGTTTCTCAGACTCTTCCAGGAGGTGAGGTCAGGCACTAAGTTCTGAGCAATGACATGTAACAAGAAGTGTACAGCAGCTTTCCAAAGATTTTTGTATGAGACTGTAGGCTCTTGCCTCTGCCCTCTTCTCCTCTTCCTTCTTTACTCCTTCCACTACTTGGCATTTTAATGTGATGGGTGAAGCTTCATCATGGGTCATAAGGTTGGGGGCCTCACCTTATGTTCGGTAAATCCAATACATGGAACCAACCTTGTTCTAAGACAGTAGAACCATCATAGATCACTAGATTGTCTGTCTATAACTTTTGTTTTAATGGGAAAGAGAAATATTACTTTAACCTACAGTTCTTTGAGGTTTTTGTAACTGGTAGCTAATCTTAACTAATCCAAAAACTCACTCAAAGTGATAACACTTCAAATGCAAACCCATTAGTCTGCAAAGTTTATGCTCCTAGGTAAAAGCCTAAAGAACTCTTGCCTGTAATTTGCAATACACTTTTTAAAAAAATGTTTCAAACTGCTGAAAGAGAATTCGATAAAATAAGAAGGTTTGAATATGCTCCCAATTCTGCATGCTTGAAGAAGACTCCAAAGTAATATGCTACTCAACAGTAAAGAATTTGGTCTCCATCAGAGATGAGCAGAGGAAAATTGTCAGGAAAATCTCAGTCACAAGCATGGAGCTGGAAGCAAAATGGGGGGAAGGGAAGGGGCTGGTAGCTTCTGTGAAAGATGCTGTGAGTTGAATGGTGGGCATTGCAGAAAGGAGCTATGGCAATGCCTGGAATGAGAGAGACAAGAAAGAACTACAAAGCACTCTGAAATGGAAAGAGATGAAATTCAAATATACACAGCCTGGAAAGGGACAAGGGGAATCATGTGATCCATATCAAAGACAGAATAAAGTTCAAAAAGGCAAAAAAGAAAGAAAGGTCATGGTTGAGGCCCTGACAACTCATTTTTATTCATTTCCTTTACAGTCCTCACAACAGCATTGCAGGAGTAAATTTAAGTTGTGTTGCAACTGAGTAGAATCCTAAGTGAAAGGAAGTCATAAAGCAGAGTTTACTATTACCCTTTGTTCAATTTCTAAATGAACAGAAGTGATAAGAACTTAGGAGAGGGCCAGGGATTTAGCTCAGTGGTTTCGCCGCCTACTGCGCAAGTGCAAGGACCCGAGTTTGATCCCTGGTACCAAAAAAAAAAAAGAAAAAAGAACTTAGAGCAATGTCCTAATCGGAGTTAGGCCTAATTATATTCAAGACCCATCTTAATGATCCAGAAAAAGAAAAATAGATCACAATGTCTAAAGGTATTATTTTAAACACCACAGTAAATAAATCAGAATAAAGGCATGCAGGAAGTAGAAAACACAGATGAGAAATAAAAGGAAAGTAGGCAATAGCAATAAAAAGTAGCAATATGAGAACAGACATGACACAAGTTAGAAGGTACGTTACAAGTGGGTAAATGAATTTTACCCTATAAATGGGCCTCCAAATTACTTTCGGGTGGTCTCAGGTCCAAGCTGTTTGCTAGTTCTCACAGTTCTCTAAGAATTAGGACAGCAATAAGGGACATGCTATATGGAAGCAATGCAAACCATTCCACCGGGTATGGACTAACATTATAGAATCAGAATAGCTTTTGACAATATCTGAATGGCAAAAGGAAGCTGGGAAGGAGAAATAAAATTAAAATTAGGAAATTCAACTTTAGTGACACTCAATGAAAGTCATAGACTGGGTTTAATGGGCTATTTTTGCATGGCTAATAAAAATTTTTAAAAGAATATAATATACTCAGATGGCATTAAAATGATTAGACATTTAAAAAAATAATTTCTTTACCAGAAAAACTTCAGGTAAAAGAAGACTCTTCTAAATTTTAAAATGTTTTCCCCCTTTCAGTTTCAGAAAACTAAACAAAAATGACAAATTTCAGGCCACTGTGGGAAAATACTCACATAGATTATTCTAAAAACCTTGGAGGACCTGATATCTTTTTCAAGTTTTGTTGAGGGCCTTTTTCATTTTAATTAATGTTGTTTTCTTTCTGAGGGTTTTGAAAATTAAAACAGCAACAGGGAATGATGACACTAGTAGGAAAGAGGCTTAAAAGAACAAATCTCAACCAGTCAAATGAAATCATTCATAATGTGAAAGACAATATTCACATTAGGCTATGCATGTTGGAACACCTTTACAACAAAAGAAAGTCAGAACAAGTTTCAAAGAACAGTAAATTAATTTCAACACAATGATAGTAGAAAAAAAACGTTTTTAGAAACTTGACATAAGAGAACTCCATGACTCAACTGTGCACTGAATGGCAAATATGCACACTTCACTCCCTAAACCAAGCCGCAGGCCAAGCTTTTAGCTCACAGCAGAATCAGACATGTTAAGGCTTATGACCTTAAATCACATAGGCACAATTACCTGGGGGGTCAGCTGCCATGTTGTATTCTCTTCAAGAGTGGAGCTGCTAAGAAAGCCCAGGTAAAAGAAAGTCACCTTGGCACCCATAAATCACAGCATTTGGGGTTCTCAGGAGATGTCAATTGTGTGTAAGTAGACACTGGAATTGTTAACTAATTATATTGCAATTAGGTTTTCTTACTTCTGCCATACATTGGGTTTGCAAGACCAGTCTGATTATTGTTACTATTATTGTTATTGTTGTTATTTGGTGCTGGGGATTGAACCCAGGCCCTTGCCCGTGCTGAACACAAACTCTATATCACTATGCTATACACCTAGCCTGTAATGTCTTAATATATGAGGAACAAATTGCCTATTTTTAATTGGCTGCATATTACAATTTTAAATTTTTATACAAGTAACTACAGCAGAGTTCTTTGTTGGTTTGCTAAGTTTTGAAGCAAGGTGAATTGTATTGTTTGGTTTTTGTTTTTAAATTTAGGTTTGTCCTTTTTTGAGGGTAGGTTGCTGCGAGGGACCCTTTCTGTCCACAAAGAGAGGTCTTCCACAAATGACACGGGACTAAGGGCAACCTATAGACTTTGGGAAGTCAGTTGAGGACGCGGATTAATGAGCCAACACTCAGCCTCCTCCTTTCTGATCTCCCAGCTGCAGCCCAGGAGGAGGAAACTCTTTGAGCCTCCCTCAAAATGGGCTTCAGTTGCCCCCTTCTTCCCCCAAGGAACGAACGCCCAACATCACCAAACTGTAGGCGAGATTATCCAAGAGCGTAAGATGTTTGCCAACAAGCAGCACCAGTGCAGGGACGCAAAGAAGAGCGACCCGACGTGGACGCGGTTGGAGGGGAGTGCGCTCACCTGAGACGAAACCTCAGCTTCGGGAAGGAGAACCCTTCCCGCCCGAGGACTCAGGCGCACACCCAGCTGCCGGAGGCAGAGGGACGGTCTTGGACGACCGCCCACTCCTCTTGCCCCAGATGACCCCAGCCTCCAGTAGAGGTCCTCCCTCCCAGAGGCGAGGAAGCAGCCAAGCTGCCACTCAGCCCTGCAGCCGCGCCACCTGCCCGTGGCCCAGCTCACAGGTGAGGCGCGGACAGGTAACCGCACCTGCTCGGCCACCCCCACCTGCTGCGTCCCCTCGCCCGACCTCTCCCATCACCTCCGCCGGCGGCGCGGTTCCCGCTCCGACCCACCTGCGCGTCCCCGGTCCCGGGCGCCGGCGCTCCTCTCCCGGGCTGGGCAGCGGCCGGGCGCCCGATCTTGGGCTGCAGGCGGCCGCGGGCTCAGCGGGAAGCCCCGGCACAGCCCGGCTCACCGCCTCCGAGCGGCTCCATTGTGACGCGGCGCGCGCGGCCCGCCAATGGGCGCGCGGCGGCGCGAACCGCTGACTAAATTCGCGGGCGGAGGAGGCGGGCGCGGGGCGGGGGCACGGGCGGCGGCGGAGAAGGAGGAAGAAGAAGAGGAGGCTGCGGCCGCTTTGCTGGTAGCTGTCCCTGCTGTGGATTTTTCAACGGTCCGGGCCGGAGTGCTCGGCTGGCCGTGGGGCTTCGGGCCGGTGACTCAGCCCGGCCGCTGGAGACAAAACGCGGCGGTCACCCCAGCCCTCCCCGAACGCGCCAAGTGGCCTCCCGGCCCCTCGACCAGCCTCGGAGCGCGGGCGGCGGAGCGCAGCCAGGCGTCCCGCCGGCGGCCGCGGCGAGCGGGGCTGTGTGCCAGGAAGGCTGGGGACTGAGCGGCCTTCGGGCTGTCCCCGCGAGGGGCTCTGCTGTGCCCCTTGTGCGCCGGGCCCCGCCTTCTCACGTGTGCACCCCAGAGTAACTTGTTTTTTTACGTAAGGAGTGCCTGGGCCTGGGGGAAGGGTCAGGTCTCACCCTGAAGTCCCTTGAGCTCTCTACCTTGAAGGTTAGGAAAGGCTGCAGGCCAAGCCCTTGTGAGAGAAGGTTGTACCAAACTAAGCGGCTTAAATTAAATGCTGGGCCTCCAAATACCACCCGCCTCTCTCAAATCAAATACTATACTGAATCCCATGTTAAAGGGACCATCCCTGTACTCATAGCCAGTGTTTTACTGCTTAGCAGCTGCAGGTCCCCTCACCTACGACCCCACCCGCTTCCCTCTGCAGTTAAGTGGCCCTGTGTTTGAAGAGTAACAAGGTACCTTATAAAATAAGGGAAAAAATCCAAACCCAGAGGTTGGGAGGGGGTCTTTAATATTTTTATCATCCTCATCCACTCCTTACTGTCCCGGACTCTACCCTGTTTAATTCAGTCTCTGCCCCAGCTATCATTTCCAGCACAGTGATTCAATTAGACAAGATTTATTTCTCCTAGTTCCTATGGCGATCACATCCCTATTTTAAAAAAAGAAAAGAAAGAAGAAGGAAGGAACTCTGTACAGAGACTTCCCAAAGGAACAGAATGAAAATCGTGATAGGCAGCATTTGGGGCATCTGACAAATTTGGATAAAAGCGTAAAGAAAATGCACTACTGAGTTGCACCCCACAGAGACCACTACAATCTGAATGGTAATAAGGCTATCTTTGTATTACTGTTCTGTTCTTCCCTTCCCCACTGCATTCTAGGGTGGTAGTTGTTTTCTGAATCCTGGAGGAAAACCTGAAAGAACATTCCTTCACTTGGTCACTCAAGATTTTATTGAGTTGTGTATGTGAGATACTGTATGGACAGATCTGACAGACTCCTTTAGATTTGAGTACCACCTAGAGAAAGAATATATTTATGTATAATTATGAGATATGTATAATAATATACGTATAATTATGTAATTATGAAATGCAAAAGTGCTATAAAAGATGGTGTTAAAAACTTGAAAATACTCAAATTTTAATCTCTGAGTTTTAATGTTTGGGAAAGGATATTCTCTCTCAAATCCAGGAACACATAATCCATTTTTCCAACAGCAATATAATTACTTTTGTGAGTGGAGGTAGTTACTTAACCTCTTTAGAGTCAGTCTCCTCATCAATACAGTAAGAGTATAAACTAGATCATCTGTTAAGATTATAGCCGGGGACTGGGGATTTAGCTCAGTGGTTGTGCTGCCTGCTGCGCAAGCACAAGGACCCGAGTTCGATCCCCGGTACCAAAAAAAAAAAAAAAAAAGATTATAGCCGGATGTAGTGGCACATGCCTGTCATCCTAGCCGTCTGGGCATCTGAGGCAGGAGGATAGAAAATTCAAGCTCAGCCTGGGCAATTTAGTGACTTAGACCCTGTCACAAACCAAAAACTAAAAAGGGCTGGGAATGTTGGCAAAGACCCTGGATTCAATCACCAGTACTGAGGGGGATATACATATAGTTCCAATGATGACATGACAAAAAAGTGACTTCCATGCTTGATAATCCAAGTTTTCATCAAAAGATCAAGTTTTAGCTGTATTAGCTAACTATATTAGCTTTGAATAACCTCAACTACATAGTTTTTTCGTTTGGGTTTGGTTTTGTTTTGGTACGGGGGATCAAACTCAGGATTGTGCTTGCAAGACAGGCATGGTGCCATTGAGCTAAATCCCCGGCACTCAACTACATAGTTTTTAAATGTGATTATTTTATCCTAATTCCTTCACACTCCATGATGACAGCATTTATCACTAACACTGGAGAAAAAAAAGACTACTGAATTTGTGATAGTGCAATCAGGAATCCGGTGAAGGCATCAAATAGATGTTTCTCTTATTTCTTTTTCATTTTATGTTATATAAGCTCCTATTTGCATCATAGTGAAGACAAAGATGAATGACCCTTCTCAAAGAACTTTTTAAATACCATGCACATGATATGGGCCCATAACGAAAACTGAATAGAAATTTTAGACATTCCAGGACAGACTTTATAATGAGAAATATATATATACTGTTTGACTTCTTATATGTCTGTGCCCAGTTTTTCTCCTACCTTGTAGTCTCTGAAAACAGGATCCATGGAACCTTGGAGTATGTTCAGTACTTGCAAAATTCTCTCAGGGACTCTCTGATCAATTTATTTTGCTAAAAGAAAATTATAAAAGACTCACCACTATTTACACAGCCACCTTTGTCCAATACTAAAGTAGGGATTAAAAACTGCACTATGGATATGAAGTGCTAACTCTGTGTGATGCAGGGTAATGGACATCATATCATAGGCTATACAGAGAAGCTTTAACTTGGTCCCTGACTTTAGCAGCCCACACTTTGGAAGAACACATAAATAAATCAAAGATTTTGTTATGGTTTAGATGTCTGCCCAAAGCCTCATGCTCTCATAGGTGGGGCCTTGGGGAGGTGATGAATCATGGGGGCATGATACTCATCAGTAGATTAGTCCACTTGACTTCATAGCTCAGTGATATTGGGAAGTAAAGCTTGGTTGGAGGAGGTGGATTACTGAGGACGTGGCCTGGAAGGATCTATCTCTTTCCCTCCTCCCTTGATCTCAGTCTACTTTTTGCTGCCTTGCCATAAGCTGTTTCTCCTCTACAATGACCCACTGCTACGCCTCCCTGCCTTGGAGCCAGCCGATAGTGAACCAAAATAAACCTTTCTTTCCTAGAGTTGTGGGCATCGGGTATTGTGCCTCGGTGACAAGTGCTAGCTAAGGCAGGCTGTTATGTTCAAAAAGAGAGACGATGGAACAATGAGAATGGGTGTACTCAGAGGCACTTTCATGAACTTTAAATTTTGAGAGAAGAGCAGGATTGAGAAGGACTCTACCTGTATCCCTGCCTCATCTGCCCCAAGCATTGTTTAAAAATGACATTTCACCTTCAGGGTTCTTTCTGGCAAGGCGAGAATCTAGGGAGGAAGCTGAAGGAAAATATACTGCTTTCTACAGTGCTTTCTCAAGGATAGCTAGCAGTAGGGTCTTTACATCCCTGTGATAAAAGGGGAGGAGTAGGAACAGCTAATATGGTCCCCTCTTCTATACAGTTGACGGGCAAAATTACAAATTATAGAAATGAAACAATTGCTGTAGGTTTGTTGTATCATTGCTGAGTTCTCTGACCCACATGAAATAATCACCTAACTCATGAGACTGGCAGGTTTCTTCTGGATTGATTACCCCAAAGGGAAAAAAAAAATCTATCTTTATATTTTTCAGTGTATAAATATTGTTATGCTGAATGCAGATGTCCTGATAAGAGTTTAGGTTTCTCTAAATCTTGAAACAGTATTTATGAATAATAAGATTTTTCAATATTAGCAGTTCTTTTCTATTTCAGTATTTTATATATTCCGTATAGTAATGAAAAAAATCTAAAAAAATTAAATGTTGAATTTTTACACAGTATGCAAGAAAGCACTGGGGATCTAACAAAGGAGGAAGAATAGCAAGATAAACATAATTTCTTCTCTTAAAGCTATAGCACTGTGGTAAGGAAAGTATATCTGAAGAGCATACAGCCTCAAGTAGAAGTGAAGTTAGTTGGTACTGTAGTTAGGGGAGCATCATACTAAACATGGGTCTGAGAAAGGTTAGCTAGCTTTGAGGCTCTAGATGAAGTATTATTCTATTAGTATATATTTCTTTTAAATCTTGTCTCAGGATCATGGTACAAGGTTGTTGATTCTTTCATGGGGTCAAGTCAGAAAAAACGAACAAGTTACCAGCCACTCACTCATACTTTTGCATCCTGAGGCAGCCTGCCAGATCCTCTTGGTCCAGCTGTATATGACTGAGCACACTGTCGTCAATGAAGGACTTATATTTACTTATTTTTGGTGAAACGGTTCATGTTTTTCTGACTTTTTCAAGCTTTTGGTTGCAGTGGTTAAAATGAGCTTTTCTTGGGCTTGGCACAAATTCTAAGAGTGCCCCCAGAGAATGAGCTCAAAGGTAAGATCTCTGAGACAGGCAGGATAAATGGGATATTGCACATGTGTTTGGAATAAGGTAGTTTGACCTAGAAATCTAAACTGCAAATGTGCAAGGCCAGCTGTACATTTCTGTGTCAGTTGATCTTCTATCAGTAGTCACAACTACTCTGTGTTCTTATCACCCACTGTGCCAGGTGTCCCATCTGCCTTAACTAGACATTGCCTCTTCCTTATTAGACCGGTGCTGTGATGATGGCCCTCCTTTGAGCCCATTCCTCTAAGATCAAACATCAATTCCTGCAGCAGGATGTGTCACATCCTCAATTGATCTGTCTTCTGGGAATTTGTCCAAATATTTCTTTGAAAGTTTCCCATGCATCCCATTTAAAGAAAATATGCTGTCATCTGGGTCATATATTGGAATACCATAGAGCAGCAAGGCAGTTGTTGATTCTTGTCTTTTCTTATCCATAAAAAGGAGATGACTATTAAGAAAATATGTACAAATGAAGCCTGGCTAAAAGCCAGAATTGT